TGTCCATCCCATCTGAGAGCATGCCCAATGACCCTAAGAGTCTGGAAAGAGGCCTTGTGTCTTTAATGTTCCTTCATTGAACATCACCATACTGGGGATCCAGCTTCTAACATATGAACACTTTCAGAACAAAAACCACCTAAATCATAGCCCCCTTCAATAAAGCAAAGAAGTAATAGAATGCATTCCTTCTCTTTGACAGCCAGAGATGCTGTGTTTCTCTCCCAACCTCCTGTCCTATAATAAGAAGAAGCAAATTTCATTCTTTTGTGTATAATCTTAACCAAAGGCCAAAAGCAATCTTCTTTTATGATATATCAATTGACTTAGTGACCATGTTTATTCTAAATTCTGTGAACGTAGAACTTGTATATTACTCATTGCTTGTAAATTTGTGTTAATCAGGTTTCTCCAGAGAAATAGAACCAATAGAATGTAGATAGAATTGTAGGAAGGGATCTATTGGGTTGACTCACATGATGGGCTGTATGGTCCCACAATGGCAGACTAGAGAGGGGGAACCAGTAGCTGTTCCTTCCAGCTGGAAGCCTTAGGTCAAAAGGGCCCTTGCTACAGCATGGAAGCCCATAGGAGAGTCTCTGTGGGTTTCCCTTCCAAAACTTTGGAACCACATCTGTTAGGAATGACAGAAGCAAAATGCATACACTCAACAACTACGCCTCCTCACATGGAAGACTCCCTTCCTTCTGCTGTAGTTTTCCTTTTGTGCCAGTTCTGGGGCTTGAACTAAGAGCCTAGCTATATTCCTTTCCTATGTTGTTGTTTGTTTGTCTGTTGTTTGTTTGTTGTTTTGGGGTTTTTGGTTTTTGCTCATAGCTAATACTCTGCCACTTGAGCCACAGCTCACTTCTGACTTTTTGGAAGTTAAGTGGAGATTGGAGTCTCAAGGGCTATCCTGCCCAGACTGGCTTGGAACTCAGATCTCAGCCACCTGAGTAGCTAGGATTATACATAGGAGATGTTGGTGTCTGGCTTTCTTCTGCTCTTTGCTCCCTCAGGGCTCCTGGCATATTGGAGTGCCATTCACATTGTGTGAGTCTCCCCCTCAGTTCATTGACAGAGATGCCACTTGTCTCGGGACCACCTCGCCGCCCCCCCCCACATACACAGATAGACCCAGAAGTGTACTGTCCCATTGTCTTTAGTGCCTTTCAGTCCAATCAAGTTAACAATCAAGATGAGCTGTTACAATTTCCAAGGATATTCTTGAGTGTTTCTTTCTTTCTTTTGACTCTTTTATCCTTGAAAGTAGAATGATATTTCCTACTCATAGCTAGACAGAATTTCTAAAACTTCTCTTGAAAGTGATTGCTTGAAATTTGTGATAAAGGCTCTTGTAACATACTCCAAAGTGCAGAGAGTAGCTCTCTGTGTGTGTCTGTGTGTGTCTGTGTTGGTGTATCTGTGCACACATATGCTGGTCCTTGGGCTTGAAGACAGGATGTGGGCACTCTCCCTGAACTTTTATTGCACAAGGTTAGTGCTCTACCACTAAAGCCACAGCTTTCTACTTCTGAACAATGTTTTTTTTTTTCTTTCCAGATAATGAGTACATTTTTGGGTATGTGGACAGTGTCACTTCCCTTCACTTTCTCCCAGTTTCTAACCATGCTCATTTTTCTTCTTCTTCTTTTTAAATTGTAAAGATACTGTAAGAGGGGTTACAGTTACATGAGTAAGGTAATGAATATAGTTCCTATCAAGCATTGTAACTCCCTCCTTTGTTTTTTCCTCTACTATCCCTTCCCTCCCCACCTTCCAACTCCTCCTCCCCATCCCCAAGTTGTAAAGTGGCAGACTAGAGAGGGGGAACCAGTAGCTGTTCCTTCCAGCTGGAAGCCTTAGGTCAAAAGGGCCCTTGCTACAGCATGGAAGCCCATAGGAGAGTCTCTGTGGGTTTCCCTTCCAAAACTTTGGAACCACATCTGTTAGGAATGACAGAAGCAAAATGTAACATAGTGTCTTGTAAGTCTCATTGTTGCATTGGGTCAACCTGTATGACCTTATAAAATAATGCTAAGCAAAATGAACCCCAAGGTAGGGACACAAGAAGTTTTTTCTTTCTTGCTGTTGTTTTTAAACAACTTATAATATACTATGTGGGTTTTTTTGTTTCTTTTTTATGTTCTTCCCCCACGGTATAAGCCCTGTTTTCACTGTATTTGATTCCGGTGCCCTGCATCTTGTATATACATTTTTTTAATTCGGGGAAGGGAAGGGAAATAACATAATGCTGAAACAAGCTCACTTTTATTGTAAAACAATATTTTTGAGATATTTTTGAACTTTTGCCTATGGAAATCTGAGCTACTGAGTTCGTCATCTCCCTGCGCTCTAGTGATCTTTTTGCATCCAGAGTAGCTGGGACTACAGCTATTTCCACCTTCAACTGACTGTGAATAACTGAAGCCTGCAATTGAGAATAATATGCCAACAATAATATGCTCTCTACCAGCATTATCAAATCTTAATATTATGTTATTTTTCCAAGTTATTATTTTTTTTTGGTGGCCATGGAACTTGAACACAAGGCCTGAGCTTTTTTACTTAAGGCTAATTCTTTACCACATTGAGTCATAGCTTCACTTCTGATTTTCTTGTTAATTGGAGATAAGAGTGTCACAGACATTCTTAACCCCAGACTGGCTTTGAACCGTGATCCTCAGATCTCAGCCTCCTGAGTGGCTATGATTAGATGTGTGAGCCACCAGCATCCAGTTTTCAAGTTAATTTTTTTTTGATAGTTAGGGTTTTTTTTTTTATTGTGAAAATACCGTACGGAGAGGTTACAATTACATGAGCAAGGTAATGAGTACATTTCTTATCAAGCATTGTTGCCTCCTCCTTTGTTTCCCCTTACCATCCCTGCCCTTCCATCTCACCCCCCTTCCCCTCCCCTGCCAAAGTTGTAAAGTTCATTTTCCACATAACATCTTGTACATCTCATTGTTGCAATGGGTTCACCTGTATCCCCATTTAAACAATTTGTTTTTTCCCTTCCCCTTCACAAATTATACCAACATCAAATTCATGAAAGAACAGAACCAAGTGCTACAGAGATGTTTCTGCAAATGAATGAAAAACAAAAACACAGCCCTAACTTGGGGGCTGTTGCAATTCTCCCTGTTAGTGCTCTGTAATTCCGACGCTTTAGGGTTGAGTTTAAGGTGGGAGCTGAGGACACGAGAGCTTGCAGGTGTTAGTGCAAGTGTGTACACAATGTGCTCATGAATTTGCTGGTTCTGAGCATAGTACAGGGCACCCGTTTCTGGGATCACACACTTTTGATGTGGGTCTACCACAAAGATTTCAGCAGAACTGGCTTTGTCAGGGAGTGAGGGAAAGGGTTCCATGTAACAACTTACATCAGTCATAGTAATATGATATACAAAGTTTAAGAGTGAAGCCATCTTAAAAGGATTCAGATCCTACATTGTCTTTGCTAAAATTTATCTAGTCTTGGGTGACAGAATTATTATATTTTTTTAGTCAATTACTTTTTCCACTTATAGTTCCCTCTCTCAGGAGATTTTATTGTTGCTCTTTCAGATTCTTCAGAGCCATGCTGTTACCCATTTTTACACCCCCATTCTATTATTTTTGTCACTCAGTGTGGCCAGTACAATGCCACCCGGAAGCTGGTTAGCAAGACTAGATACAGGGGACCTTTTCCATATCATCTAAATCAAAATGTTTTAGCAAGATTCCCAAGTGATTGCAGGTTAAAGTTTGAGAGGCATGGGTCTATCGGCATGCATACTCTCAAGTTTTTATACTGCAAATAGTGTCAATGGGTTAGGTAAATCGTCTTATTTTTGATTCACTACTGTAAATTGGCTCTGAAATGCCTACTCTGAGAAATGTACTTGTCCAAACTCAACAAACAGACTCAGGGGCAAGAAGTGCAGCAAAGGCAAGACTTTAGTGTTGCTCTGGCAAGGTCACATGTCTGTGGGATGGCAGGAGCCCTCTCTGAGATTACAACAAGCAATTTTATACCTGTTGTGTGGGGCTCCCTCTCCTAGATCCTCATTCATCTGATTAGTATGCGTTTCACATTCTCTCCCCAGACATTGTCTAAGTTACATTACTTTTTTTTTTTTTGTGGGTCATGTGGCTTGAACTCTGGGCTTGGGTGCTGTCCTTGTGCTCTTCAGCTCAAGACGAGCGCTCTACCACTTGAGCCACAGCGCCACTTCCGGTTTTCTGGTGGTTTATTGGAGATAAGAGTCTCTCGGACTTTCCTGCCTGGGCTGGCTTTGAACCGAGATCCTCAGATCTCAGCCTCCTGAGTAGTTTAGTATTACAGGAGTAAGCCACCGGTGCCTTTTATTTGTTAATTTGAATCCATGTACCTTTTGTGGTGGGAGTTTTTCTGGATATGTCCTTTCTAGTATGTACACAGTACTCATTCTCTCTCTCTGAGGTGCATTCTTCCCTTTGTTAATTGACCCCTCCCCTTCTAATCCCTTCTGTTTCATGGATGGGGCTTTCCAGTGCATGAACTTTGTCATATTTGCAAGTCACTGTGCAAGCAAGATACTGATAATTTTCAACTTTGAATCAAATTCCTTGTCATGCAAAATGGACCACTGCAGATGTTATTTCTAACATCTAACTAGTATATAAATATATATGCTTCTGTCATGTCCTTTGCAACTTTCATGTTTGATAGAGTCTAGTGATATAGATCATTGATAATCAGATTTTGTGTGTGTGCATGTGTAAGTGCCAGTTCTGGGATATGAACTAAAGACTTGGGCACTGTCCACTCCAGGCTGGTGCCACAGCTCCACTTCGGGCTTCTGGGGAGGTGAATTGGAGATAAGGAGACTGATGGAATTTTCTGCCCAGATTGTCTTGGAACCACAATCTTCAGACCTCAGACTCCTGAGTGGCTATGATTGATTACAGGCTTAAGCCACCTGTACCCAGCTAATAATCAGAAGTTTAGACCAACTCTCTCCTCTCTTTCGCAGGTACGGTCATTTCCTTAAAGCCATTGCATCACTGTTCCATTGGCCTTTGGACTTGAGTTATGTCAACAGCCGCCTTGATTACTTTGGTCAGAAGAGGCGGGGACCAGGTGAGGAGGCGAGTGTTGCTAAGCTCCCGTCTGCTGCAGGAGGACCGGCGGGTGACCCCCGCGTGCCCCAGCTCCACCTCCGAGCCCAGATATTCTCGCTTTGATTCCGACGGGAGTGGGCGGCCGGCCACCTGGGACAATTTTGGGATCTGGGATAACCGCATCGATGAGCCAATCCTGCTGCCACCCAGCATTAAGTATGGCAAGCCAATTCCCAAAATCAGCCTGGAAAACGTGGGCTGTGCCTCCCACATTGGCAAAAGGAAAGAGAATGAAGATCGCTTCGGCTTGGCTGAGCTGACAGAGGAGATCCTGTATTTCGCGGTTTATGACGGACACGGGGGACCCGCGGCGGCCGATTTCTGCCACACCCACATGCAGACATGTGTTAGGTATGTTCCGTGATGTCACCTGTGGACTTAGCCATTCCCCTGTGCTTCTTGTTAAAATGTTCTCCCTTTGCCTAAGACCATCCAGTATAAACTGAGTGACTTTGAGTGTCCTATCGGGACCACTTCATCCATGAGCTGTATAGCAAGCCCGTCTCTCCTTTACCTCATTGGACAAATGAACTCGGGGATTTAAGTTAACATGAGCACAAGACGTTGGCTTTTATTTCTTGTTCTGCTGAGAACTCGAAATCACCATTAAATAACACTGAGACCTATCCCCATCCAGACTTTGGTTTATATTACTCTAAAAGGGTTCAGGTGGGCACCAGTGGCTCACACCTGTTATGCTAGCTACTCAAGAGGCCACGTCTGAGGATTGAGGTTCGAAGCCAACCCAGGCAGAATAAACTACTCAGCAAAAGCCAGAAGTGGCACTGTGGCTCAAGTGGTGGAGTGCTAGCTGTGAGCACAAAGAGGCTCAGGGACAGCACCTGGGCCCTGAGTTCAAGCCCCAGGATGGAAAAAAAAATTAAAAACCAAACTTCACAGCTTAACAATGTATCTGTTACACCTTAGATACTTGCCAAACACTCCTTAACCAGTAAGTCCTCAGCATAAAACATCTTAAGGGAAAATCAGGAGGTACATTGTATGGAGTGACTCTCTGTTGTGAAGTAACTGGGGCTCCCTCTCCTCTCTACAAAGGGATTTGCTTTCTAAGGAGAAGAACTTGGAAGCCGTGTTGACCTTGGCTTTTCTAGAAATAGATAAAGCCTTTGCCAGTCAAGCCCAGCTCTCTGCAGATGGTATGTAAAACAAACATACTCCTTATTGCTTTGGCTAGGAGTGGGGATGGTGGTGAAGAAGAAATGATTTTGGCCTTTGGGGTGGGAATTTTGATGTTAGCTATTTGTAAGGAAATTTATACATAAATGACTTTACATTAAAAAAATCATTTCAAATGTTGTTTGCAATCCATGCTAATGGTCAAACGTAACTTTTATATGAAATATGAATCTTTCAGAAAGGAAGGTCCAAAATGGTTCTGTTAAGAAGATAATAAAATGTTTTGATCTGTTTTATGGACAAGATGAGAATTTCTAAGAATTCCTCATCTAACTGGGATGGCAATTCTTCAGATGAGGAAAAACAAAGAGATCCTAAGCAGGAAAGAAAGTAGCTTATGTAAGCTAATTTGAATAACTAGAAGAAAGATATTTTTCTCCCATTTCTTAAAAGAGCTGGGTCTTTCAGCTTTCCTGTCCTATGGTATTTTGGTGTTTGTTAAATACAAAGGCATGACAGCTGGATCTAAAAATTTGTGTACTCTGTCTTTAATTTTCAAAGTAAAATGTTTCTGATTTTGACTAAGTTCGTGCCTCACAACTGATTTAGAAAAAATTTCACAGGATCATTCACCTTCATTCATTCCACACTTTTCTTAAGAGATATGCACCAGGGATATGACATTCTCAGCTGCAATCCAAGTCTCTCCATTTCACAGATTCACAGATAAATTCAGAGTAGGACTGGATTTTTCCTGGCATGCCAGCAGCCTCTCTCACTTGCATACTTAATAAGGAGGAAGGGAAAAGGTGACCCTGGAATGGAGCTATTGGATATCTCCAAAGGTATTTCCTGCTCCTCCCCCCCCCCCCACCTGAACCTAGCTTGCTATGTAAGCAGGCTCTCTCCCTCTGAGCTACAACTCCAGAAAAACTGTATCATCTATTCTCACTTTGCTCAGAGATTTTTAGTTTGTATATTTTCTTTTTAGCCCATTTATTTTCTCTTTCCATTTGTAGGACCCTCTTTCCTCCCAAACAGGTGGCTGTCCTTTCCTGGACTTTAAGATGGGAATTGAAGGAAAGTGAAATTTATGATAAGATTTAGCTTTTGTTCCTAGTGAGTAATACACAGGAAAGGGAGGAAAGAAAACACTTCCTTTAAGGATTTTGTGTTCTTTACTATGATTTTCATACCTTCTTTTTTTTAAATTTAATTTTATTTGTGAACATACTGTACAGAGGAGTTACAATTACATGGGCAGGATTGATTTTCATACCTTCTTATTTCATCTCATTATTACTAGGTTGGTTGTGAGTTTGGCTGCATCACAGACAATATTTCAGGCTCTAGTGCTGGTGATATGCTCTGACTGCTCTGTGAACAACTGCAACTTAGTGGGCAAGCTTTATAGAACAGAGTGTTGAAGAGCACTGGCTCTGAACAGCCCTTCATGAATGCAGTCAGCCTTTTAAAAAATAATGTAACCCACAAAAAATAAAATTAAATTAAATTAAAAAAAGAAAATAATGTAACCAATATAGAGGCTTTAAACCATTGGTAGATTTAGTGTGAAATTTCTGAGGACTCCTCTTGTCTATTAAATAATTAGAATTAAGGACATTTTGAACTTAGAACCTTTAACTGGAACTCTTAAACTTTTTACAGATGACTTTGTCTTGTAACTCATGTGTATAAAAATGAATCATAAAACATAATTCATTCCTAAGAATGAAATTAAAATATATTGTTTAGTTTAGCTCCTCTGCCATTCTCTGAGGTAATGAATGATCCAAGAACGTTCATCGGGATAGCATAAAATTTATTTTTCTTTGATTGGCCATTTGCTTGAAAATAGAAGGGAGCAAAATCGAATGCTGATGGTTGTGTGCTACTTAAAAATGACATTATCATCATTAATTACTATTCTTGTAGTTTGTGCTTTTGTAAATCAGTATTTTGAGAACATTTAGATAATTTATTCTAAACAAGTTGCCAAATCTTTCAAAGATGGCACCAAGTGCCTGTCAATATTGATAGTGCCTATTTAGAAACAGTAAAGCCACTAAAGAATGTTAACTATTATAATTTATAGATTAAAAAAGCAAACCTATGTCATTTCATATTTCAAAGTCATTTGAAACTTTTTAAAGTTTGTAGCAAGACCTGAAGCAATATCAGCATTGTAAGACTGGCTCTAATTTTGGAGGGTGCCGTAAGCACACAAGTACATTGCCTCTGGAAAAGCAGCTCTAGCAAGGGGAAATGCTGAGCAGCATGGTTTGCCTTCTCCACTCGCCCTAATCTTTCTCTTTTTTGGTTTCAGTCCCATTTCATTCCCCTGAAATCCTTTTTGTGAAGTCAGAGATTAGGGCTTATAGGTCTTCTCTTTCTGTAGGTGCTGCAAAGTGAACCCGGGGCTCACACATGCTAGGCCAGTGCTCTGGTGCTGAGCTACCCCCGCATGCCTTTTTGTTACCATTTTTTTAATTTCTTAATATTCAGTTTATACCAATAATGTGAGCTTTTACATTTTACATGAAAACAACTGGTGAATTAAAAGGATCTTCCATCACTATGCTGTTTGCAAAGTCACTGAAAACAAATTAGGCAACAGAAAACTTATGTCTTCCTATATAGCCTTCAATCCCTGTGTTCCCCAACATGTTTCTTTGAAAGCAACAAAGGTCCACAAGGACAAGTGGCTCAAAAGAGAAGATGGCCCAGGAAGAACAGGTGTTATTGGTCACTGTTGTGAGCCTACCATCTCTTTCTTCCCTCGCTCCCTCTGTCCCTCTGTCCTTCTGTCCCTCCCTCCCTCCCTTCCTTCCTTTCTTCTTTCCTTCCTTCTCTCTTTTTCCCTCTTCCTTCCTTCCCTACTCTCTTCTTCCCTCACCTTCCTGCTTCTCCATTCTTCTATCCTCCCCTCCTTCTCTTCCTCCTCCTCCTTTCTCCCTTCCCTTTTCTCTCCTTCCTTCCTCCCTCCCTTCCTCCTCCTCTCTATCCCTCCCTTCCTTCCTTCCTCCCCTCCCGCTTTTCCTCCTTTCCTCCCTCCTTCTCTCCCTCCCTCCTTCCCTCCCTCCCTCCTTTTCTCCCTCCCTCCTTTCCTCCTTCCCTTCCTCCCTCCCTCCCTCCCTTTCTTCTTTCCTTCCTTTTCCTCCCTCTCTCCCTTGTTCCTTTTTCTCTGTGCTGAGATCAAATCTAGGCAAGTGCTCTGCCATTGAGCTATATCTCCATCCCTGTGTAATTTTTGTTGACAGTAACAATTTTTGTTGACAGTAATTTTGTTGACAGTAACTCAGGTCCTCAGTCTCTACCAGTTAAGTAATGCCTCCTGCCCCTATGCAACATTTTTTTAAAATTCTTTTCTTAGGGTAGAGACCACTGAGTTGGGGCTGGAGAATCAGGACAAGTTTAAAGAGTTGTTCTTATTGTGCTGCTACTGCTTCAGTTCATTACTTCAGTTTTGGTGTTCACATGTCACACATATCTAGAACACCCATTTTGAATAAGTGCCAAAATGATATAGGTTTATATGTACTATGACTTACATGGTTGAATAAATTACTGGGGGTTGTTAGAATTTGAAAAGTACAGCTTATACTCATTATGGTGCTATTCAAGACTGTGATGATTTTTCTTCTGTTATGTTTACCTGCAACACCAGGGAGAGGAGAGAGCTGCAGAAATACCCCTTTAATGAATAATAGTACATTGTAAATGTGTTAGAGCACATTGCCTGTCTTTATTTAAACAATGAACTTAATCATTCTACTAAGAACACTGCTTCTGGATACTAAATCCCACCATGACACACATTAACAAAAAAGATGAATACTGTGTCTGGTATAGAAATTGTTTTGTCTTCTCTTCAAACATATTTAAGTAGCAGTAGTTTGGTGGTATAGTGTAGTTCACATCCTATGAACTGTTGTCAGATACAAATCATTCAATGCTTTAAGCCATGGACTTACCCTTTTGTTTGATATTATTACCAACACAGACACAGTAATTATTTACTGTGTTCAAGATCATATACTGTCTATTTAAGGTGTGCGTGTGTGTGTGTGTGTGTGTGTGTGTGTATGTGTGTGTTTGTGTGTGTACATAGTCTTTTCCTACCTAGAAACTGTAAGAGTCAAAAGAGAAATGTGAGTCTGGAATTAAAGCACTAGACTAACTACAAAATACCATCAACTTCAGCCAGTTGAAATTTTAGAGTCATGGATTTGGCATCTCCTGAAATATTAGGTAATTTTCTAGTAAAACTTTCATCAAAATAAAAACCCTTCCCCCTTATTTTGCAGCTCTTTCTCTGCCCTCCCCTGTGTTGCAGGTTTGTTATGTTTGAGCACAATTCCTGGGTGAATTTCCTATTTGCCTCTGTGCGTGTTATTTGTGGCAGAGAACTGTGCCTGCTCAGCAGCTCTAGACCTGGAGCCCGTGGACACTATATGCTGGGCTTCAGTGGAAAGAGAGATCTGCTTAATTTTGTCTCAGGTGAAGGAGTCCAGCGGTTCCTAGCCTGGACTACGGGAAGGTTCCCACATCCTCTTTGTCCCATTAGTTGAGATGACTTGGCAGTAGAAAATTGTCCAGTGAGTGTTAAGAACTTATTGAAAGATGTCTTAGTTTTATAGTTTTGTTGTTAGGGAAAAAAGTGAGAATTTTTACTTCCATGTTAAATGTTAAATGAAAAGAAATGCTGATTTACTATTTATATTTTTAGATGCTTAGCAACCCAAAATCAACAGTTAGTTTTGAGATTTTTCCCCATAAACTCTGGGATTTTGGAACTGTTAGGGTGATTTTAAAAAAGTGAAGATCAATTACATTTCTATGTGTCAGAGACATGAAATACAACCAAAACAATAAAACTTTTATTTAGAAAATTTTAACTTTTGTCACAGCCAATTTAAAGGCCACTTTAAAAAAAGAATCTGAAACAAAAGATGCGTGCCAAATTTCCTAGACAGGCTAGAAATCTGAGTTCACTAGCTTCACTCTTGAAATCATTTGGCAATTAAATGGTTAGATGATTAACCTGAAAAGCTTCCAATCTTGTATTTGGCTCTGGCTAATCATAAATAGAAGTTAGTATGTTGTGGTATACAATGTCAAATGTATATTTTTAGCTAACAGTGAAAATATTAGTTTGATACAGCAGTTCCAAAATCAAGAGATATAAATGGGGAGACAATGCCACTAACAATGCTATTTGTCAATAAAGTAAATTCAGCATGACTGTGAGATTAGCATTTATTCATGCTTTCTTTTATACTTTTCTAATTAAAGCAGGCATTGTAATAAACTGATTGGAAATACCAATTTCTGTATCTCCTTCCAAAATGTGGTACTGATTATATTTTTTTAATTTAGTTTTTTGAAAAGAAAAATTGTTGGAAAGATTATGTTTCAATCAATTAAATCAATCAATTAAACATTGACTTTAAAGTCAAAAATCTATTGATTAGAGTTTTAGAAACTTACCTGAACCATAATCAGTTTGGGAAGTTACCTAAAAATTGTATTTAAATGTTTTCAGAAATTGACAATGTTGAGTAAGATGGTGTATGTCTGTAATCCTAGCACTTGGGAGACTGAGGCAGGGGACACTGGCTCAAGGCTAGCTTGGCTACATAGGGAGACACTGTCTTTAATTTTAGAAAAGACAAAAAGGAGATCAACATTGTTACTAGAGATAATACCTGCTTTAAGTTATCTTTTCTATATTTCCACTTTCCTGTATTTTTTTCTAACTCATAATTTTACAAGATGCTCAGGTTGGCAAGGCTCAATGCACCTTAAAATTTTTTAATAAGTAGTAAAGACATTAAGGCACATAAGTCCAAGGAAGATGCAAAACTGTAGTTTTACTGGTATGGATAAAATGTTGGTGACCTGTGTCTATTACCACTGAATTTTTTACTTGATGATCATCAGAGAATATCAATATTTTTGCAATGTCTTGGGCCCAGGCACATGGCAATGCTGACCCACATTTATTTGCCTACACACTTGGTATTAACTATATCAAGCTTATGAGAAACTAGAATGAATTTCATTTCCTGTCTCCCAAATACTCTGCTGATGTAATGATAGCTAGAGCTTTGTTTCATAGCTAGGAAGAACAAAGAAAAACCAGAAAAGACTGGGCCTACTTTTTTAGGATTCCCTTTCTGACGATTGTGGAAGGAAAGAATAAATAGTCTACCTTGTTATGTCTCACTCAGCCTGATAACTGATAGGACATTGACAGGATAGAAGAAATGGAAGAAGAAAACTAAAATCCCACAAATGGAGAAAAGCCAGTTTCCATAAATGGGCTCAGCTGACCCAGGCAAAATAGCCAATGCTAAAAAAAAAAAATCTCAGTACTTTTTATTCATTTTGCTACCTGATATACACAAAAAGTGTCATAATTATAATGATGTGAATGGAGACCTTTGGAGACAGCGCTGCATTGTCCACATTAGGTCAGCAACCTTTGCATGGAGCCTTGTTACTGAGTCAAAAAGTTGTGTTTTGTTTTGTTCTTATTCCTGCATGTTCTTATTTACATAGTTAATTTGCATTTTATTTGCATAGCAGTAGTTAAATTAGAATGGTACAGCCCAGCATTAGTTTATCGTGCTTGTCTATTGTTTTGTAATAAAATTTCCATATCCAATCACCTGACTGTCACTAACAGTCATTCTGTTTTTATGATGTTTGTAGCGACCCTTCTGACCTCCGGGACTACTGCTACAGTAGCCCTGTTGCGAGATGGTATCGAACTGGTTGTAGCCAGTGTTGGGGACAGCCGAGCTCTTTTGTGTAGAAAAGGCAAACCTATGAAGCTGACCATTGACCATACTCCAGAGAGAAAAGATGAAAAAGAAAGGTACTGCCAGCCTGGGCCCTGTCATTCTGTGGGGTGATATTGATAGATCAAGACAGAAATGAAAATTTGCATTTTCCCTCATCATGTTAAAGATCAAACCTGTGGCCTTGCGTGTGCCCAAATTTGTTTGGTGGTTGTTGTTGAAACTGAGTCTCGGTGGCCTAGAACCTTTAATCCTCCTGCTTTAGTTTACCGAGATTATGGGAATACACTACCATGCCCAGTCTAAGTTTTGAAGTGTAACAGTGACTTGGTTTCTCTGAATGTTGTGTCTTTAGTCTTTGAATTTTTTCTTGTCTAGGATTAAGAAGTGCGGGGGCTTTGTGGCATGGAATAGTTTGGGACAGCCTCATGTGAATGGCAGGCTTGCAATGACAAGAAGCATTGGAGACTTGGATCTTAAAGCGAGTGGTGTGATCGCAGAGCCTGAAACAAAGAGAATCAAGGTAAAAAAAGGACTGGGAAACTCTTGACACATTCACAGAGAGTGAAGGTAGGCTTCTCTCCAGTTACAGGATTTCTTAAAAGACTCGGGACAGTGTTTCATTATGTATCCCAGCCTGGCCCCAACTCACAATCCTTCTGCCTTAGCCTCCTAGATTAGATGTTAGGATTACAGATGTGTACCATCATGCCGAGTCTTAAAAGATCTAAATGAAGCTAATATGATTCATGGAAGAATATGCTTGTTTTTCTTGTTATTTTTATTTTTGTGTTGGTACTGGAACTTGAACTCAGCACCTTGTACTCTTTACTAGGCTTTGTTTCTCAAGGCTGGCCCTCTAACCACTCAACCTTTTCTGTGTGGGCTGGCTTCAAACTGTGATCCTCAGATCTCAGCCTCAAGAATTATAGGCATGAGCTACCAGTTCCTGGCAGTAAGAATAAACTTTCAGGTTGAAATAGGATTCTGTTCTCCTGGTTGGATTATTTCCTGGTTGGATTATTTTGCTCCTGTTATATAATCCCCTGGAGATGATGGCCCTGCTGTCCTTCCTTGCTTGGACCAGATCCTTCGGTGTTAGCATGGTTTCCTTCCTCACCAGGACAAATAGTTGCTCCCTCTCTTTCTGCAACATAGTGCCCCATTGCACTTGACTCATAGCACTCCTCTTGTTCATGATCAGATACTTCCTTTTCTGAACCCTTTGAGCCAGCCATAGCACCTGCCATTGCAGTATAGCCTTCCAGACACTTCAGGAAATGTTGTGTCATTATCTGCATGGATGGTTTCATGTCTTTATGAAACCATCAGTCACTTCTATTCATCGTGAGAACACTAACATGGGTTTTGCTCTATGGCGCATTCTGTTCAAAGATCAAAAAGAGGCTTCTAGCCCTATTTAACAAGGAAAATAAAGCTGAAGTTACAGAGATCTTGAAGCATAAAGATGCCTGTATTTCTAAGCACTAAATGTTGAGCCAGGCACCAACAGATCATGCCTATAATCCTAGCTTCAGGAAGCTGAGATGAGATCTGAAGATTATGGTTCAAAGCCAGCCTAGGCAGAAAAGTCCATGAGACTCTTATCTGCAATTAACCAGCAAAAAGTCAGGAGTAAATCTGTGGCTCAAGAGGGAGACCACCAACCTCAACAAAAACTATAAAGGAGGGCTGGCAAGGTGGCTCAGTGGTAGAGTGCTCCTCCCCTTGCATGCATGAGGCCCTGGGTTCGATTCCTCAGCACCATATAAGCTGAAAAGCCAGAAGTGGTGCTGTGGCTCAAGTGATAAGAGTGCTAGCTTTGAGTTGAAGAGACAGTGCCCAGGCCAAGAGTTCAAGCCCCATGCCCACCAAAAAATAATGATAAAGGATATGACCTTGATCCTGAATTCAAACCCTAGAACCAGCGCACACATACACACACACACACAAACACACATAGTGTTCAACCAACTGAATAACAGAGGCAGGAATCAAGCTCAGATTATCTCAGCCAATAGTGTCTAGCCTCTTACTTTATATTGTGATTATGTAAAAGCTTAGTTTATCCTGGGAGGTGGTGGGTGTTGCATTTGCATTCACTCTTGCACAAATGACCATTCAGCCCAACCAAGAACATCTTGGAATGATCAAGATCACTCTAAAATAGAGTCTAGTTTCTAATCCTATGCTTTGCACTGATTACAGCTCCATCATGCTGAGGACAGCTTCCTGGTCCTCACCACCGATGGAATTAACTTCATGGTGAATAGTCAAGAGATTTGTGACTTTGTCAATCAGTGCCACGATCCTAATGAAGCAGCCCACGTGGTGACAGAGCAGGTAAGGGGCAGGTTATGTGGCAGAGTCCCTGCAGGGATGCTGGTAAAGGGTACCTGGGGCATATGGTGGTCTCTGTGCAGCCTAGAGGGGCTGTCAAATCCCACAGTTCCTTTGAATCTTGTGGTTTAGTTGTAATGTTCCAGTGAACCTTACATTCAATTTATAATATTGCCTTGGAAATTTTTATAATTCAAGCAAGTCATTAAGTAAAGTTAATATTGCAAGGAAATATGGTATCTTTATAGGTTGGCTTTGAATATTTCTTGAAATAACAGTAACAGTGATTGAATGATAGTAATAATAAAGTCATAGAATCATCACAAGGACCTATGACATTGGCTTTCCACAGAGTAAGAAATCTGATATACTGAGGAGACCAAGTTTGCAGAACTAAGCTTCAAACCCAGTCAGCCACTGATACTGATATATTTACGTAAATTCCCAGCTTGAGGAATACTCTGGCATAATCAACTTCTGTGTATTAAAAATGAATGTGGGGGAGTTGGTGATTTAACTCAGTTGGAAGAGCACTTGCCTGGAAAGTACAAGGCCCTGAGTTTGGTCCTCAACTCTGGGAAGGACGGAAGGAAGGAAGGAAGGAAGAAAGGAAGGAAGGAAGGAAGGAAGGAAGGAAGGAAGGAAGGAAGGAAGGAAGGAAGGAGGAAGGAAGGAAGGAAGGAGGAAGGAGAGAGAGAAAGAAGGAAAGAGAGAGAAGAAAGGAAAGAAGGAAGGAGAGGAAGGAAGGAAGGAAGGAAGGAAGGAAGGAAGGAAGGAAGGAAGGAAGGAAGGAGGAAGGAAGGAAGGAAGGAGGAAGGAAGGAAGGAAGGAGAGAGAGAGAGAAAGAAGGAAAGAGAGAGAAGGAAGGAAAGAAGGAAGGAGAGAAAGAAAGAAAGAGAAAGAAAGGAAGGAAGGAGAGAAAGAAAGGTAAGGAGAGAAAGAAAGGTAAGGAGAGAAAGAAAGAAAGAAGAAAGAAGAGAAAGGAAGGAAGGAAGGAGAGAGAGAAAGAAGGAAAGAGAGAGAAGAAAGGAAAGAAGGAAGGAGAGAAAGAGAGAAAAAAAGAAAGGAAGGAAGGAAAGAAAGAAAAAAATGTGTGTAGTCAAATGCTGGCAACTCATGTCTGTAACCCTTGCTATTCAGGAGGTAGATATCTGATAATCCTGATTCGAAGCTAGCCTGGACAGAAAAGTCTGTGAGGCTTTTATCCTCAATTAATCAGCAAAATATGATAAGACAAGGTATGACTCAAGTAATAGAGCACCAACCTTCAGCATCAAAACCAAGTGCCAGTGCCAGTACTGCAACAAAAATAAATTCAACAAGCAAATAAATAAGTATATGAAAAAAGACCAACAAAACATAAAAAGAATGAATAGATGAGATTGAGTGGGTCCAAGATGAAATTTGAAGGCTAAGGCGGTAGCTAGTAAAATATATGTTAAGTCAGGCACCTATTGGCTCACACTGTAATCTTAGCTACTCAGGAGGCTGAGATCTAAGGACCACAATTCGAAGCTAGCTGGGGCAGGAAAATTCATGAGATTCTTATTTCCCCCCCAAAAACCAGAAGTAAAGTCATGGCTCAAGAGGTAGAAGCCTTAGCCTTGAGCAGAAGTGCTCAGGGACAGCTCCCAGGCCAAGTTCAAACTTTACGACCATCACCAAAAAAGAAAAGTAAGATATATATTTTTTCTTTTCTTTTTGCTTTTTTTGGGGGGTGCAGTAGGGTAGATAGGTTGACTTTGAACTTCAATCCTAGATCTCAACTCCAGAGTAGTCACGATTACAGGCATGAGCCATTGGCACCTGGCCTGCTCTGTGGGTTTTGTTGTTTGTTTTTTGCCAGTCCTGTGGCTTGAACTCAGGACCTGGGTGCTGTCCCTGAACATCTCCACTTAAGATTAGAGCTCCGCCACTTTGAGCCACAGCTCCGCTCCCAGTTTTGTTTCTCATAGTTAATTGGAGATGAGTTTCATGACCTTTCCTGCCCAGGCTGGCTTTGGATCTTCAGATCTCAGCCTCCTGGGTAGCTAGGATTGCAGACATGAGCCCCTGGTGTTCAGTCTGCTTTGTAATTGTTAACAGTATGTTTTGATAGTGGTATTCAGTGATAACCACAACTGGTCATCTTTTAGTTCCACAGCTATTTTGTGCATTTCCAGTATTTACATTGTGAATTAAGGAACCAAATTTAGCCAAAACCAGTGTGTGTGCATGCATGTGCGTGTGCCACGCGGTCACACGCATTGTCAGTGCTAGGGCCTCACACTTGCTAGACAGCCAATCTACCCCTTGAACGACACTCTCAGCTGTTTTTGCCTTAATTGTTCTTCACGTAATGTGTTGGGCTTTGCCCAGGCCAGCCCCAGACCACCATTCTCCTATCTCTATTTTCTAACTAGTGGGGATTACAGTATAAATAAAAGGAGTTCAGAGACAGTGCCTAGGCCCAGAGTTCGAACCCCAGGACAGAAAAAAAAAAGCTATCAACAACATGAGACCCTGAATTCAAGCTCCAGTGGTAACACACTCACACACACACATACACACACAAAACATCAGTGAGCTACCATGTATGTACAATGATAAGAGATATGAGTCTTCTGAGAAGGCAAATGTAAAAGCCTAATAAATGCAAAGACTTGCTATGTACTAGCTCCTAGACTGGCTTTGAACTGTGATTCTCATAGCTCAGCTAGGATTATAGGTATGAGGCTCTAGTGGTATCTTGCCCCACTGCTGTTTTTATCATCAACAGAATATGGTCATTGTGGTTATTTGAATCATCTATTCCATCTACAATTTAAAAATGTTCTGAGTATTGGCACTGGGAAGGATCAAAATCTTTTGAAATGTTTGCATTTGATTACTGAGTAACGTCAATTTGTTTTTTCTACAAATACAAAATCTCCATTGAAATAGACTCTCAATTCAAATGTTTTTCTCATTCTTCCTGGAAAATCTTTCAGGCCATCCAGTACGGTACTGAGGACAACAGTACAGCAGTAGTTGTGCCTTTTGGTGCCTGGGGAAAATACAAGAACTCTGAAGTCAATTTCTCCTTTAGCAGAAGCTTTGCCTCCAGTGGACGCTGGGCCTGATGGCTGGCTGGTATGGGCCTGTGTTATTGCTGCTGATTGTATCAAGAAACAGAAGATCAAAACAGTCACCCAGGAGTCCCTTGGACTCTATATAGTTGTACAGTCACTGTAAAGTTAACCATCTACATCATTGTGTGTTCATAAATACTCATTATAGCTATGTATAAACCTTAACATAAACACCATGGAATGAAATGTGCAGAGATTGAGAGTCTCTAAACTAAGCAGGCAAAGGAAAACATATGTTTGTACATTTGAGTGTAAAGTGTGAGTGCCTGTTGCTAGTGATTGAGAGTCTCTAAACTAAGCAGGCAAATGAAAAAATGTTTGTACATTTGAGTGTAAAGTGTGAGTGCCTGCTGCTAGTGATTGAACCCAGAGCGTTGTGCATAGTTTTCTAATTTCTATGACTCTCGGGCAGCCGTAGTGTTTTGTGATCATTTTTTATTCTCTATTCAGTTGAACAGGTTCTTCAAGTTTTTCTGAATTTTGACAGTCTATACTATTTGCAAATATAATATTTGCAAGGGTTTTTTTGTTGTTTTCTGTATCATTTTTGTTTTTGGCTTTTTTGTGCCAGAACTGGTGTTTCAATTCAAAGTTAGGGCACTCTCCCTTAGCTTTTTCTACTCAAGGCTGGCACTTTACCACTTTAGCCACACCTCCTCTTTATTTCTTTGATCACTAGTTGGATATAAGAGTCTCATGCTCTTTTCTGCCCAGGGCTGGCTTCCTTTGATCTCCTTTGAGGAGCAAAGATGTGAACCACCAGCATGTGACTGCACATGTTTATAATAATTGCACCAAGGAGTAAATGTGAAAAGTGGGTTCCCTGTTATCATATTTTGTACTCTGGAACAATTGAAAATAAATGTAACAATGCAAAAGAAATGTATTCAGAAAATATGACATAGCTAAATTCTGCACATATTTATAAACAGAGCCCTTGTGTATTTCAAATGTCACTACCCCCTCCCAGTTCATTCCTATTTTTCTGTACTTAAATGTGCTATGTATATGTGACTCTTTCCTTTTTCTTTCTTTCCTTCTTTTCTTGTCTTTTCCTTTCTTTCTTTCCTTCTTTCTTTCTTTCTTTCTTTTTCTTTCCTTCCTCCCTCCCTCCCCCTTTCTTTTTTAATTTTTTTAAAAATGTTATTGTTAAAATGTTGTACAGTTACATGAGTAAGGCAATGAGTACATTACTTGTTGATCATTGTTACCCCTTCCCTTCCTTATTGTTGTCCCACTATGCCTATGTCTAATCTGAGGAGGGGAAGAGGAATAACAAAACACTGAAACAAGGACACAGGATGATCCATTCTAACAATGATACCCACAGGACAGTATATTGGAAATGTTCTTCCTTCCTTCCTTCCTTCCTTCCTTCCTTCCTTTCTTTCTTTCCTTCTTTCTTTCTTTTTTTCTTCCTTTCTTTCTTTCTTCCTTTCTTTCTTTCTTCTCTCCTTGGCTTTGAACTCAGGGCCTGGGCACTGTCCCTGAGCTTTTATGCTCAAGGCTAGTGTTCTACCACTTGAATCACAGCTCCACTTCCAGTTTTTTGCTGATTAATTGGAGATAAGAGTCTCATGGACTTTGCTGCCCAGGCTAGCATCAAACTGCAATCCTCAGATCTCAGCCTCTTGAGTAGATAGGATAACAGGCATGAGCCACCAATGCCCAGCTGTGACTATTGCTTAAGATCAGAAAAAAAAAATATGCAGGCTAAAGGTCTTTGGTCAAAACAATGCAAAGTTAAATACTGATAATGTCAAATTATTTGTATAAAGATTCCATTTTTGGTCTGTTTTGTATATAACATGTTTATATGTTACTTTTTGTATAGAATAAGCAAGGAAGTTGGAAAAATTGTAAAAAAAATACCACATTGACACTGTTATAGACATAGCTTGAGGATCATGTCTCCATTTTTTGCTCAATTCTAAGACTTATGAGAAAGAGTATGTCTAAAACAAACATAAAATGCTCTATATTTCAGCTTGCTATATAATTTAAAAATGTAAAATTATGCTTTTTAATTGCATGTAAGTTTGCTTTTAAACTGTGAACTTTAAACCTGTGTTTTAAATTCAATCTAGGGTTTATTTTTGCTGACTGTGAATTCGCTGTATATGTGATGTGTATATATGAATATCTTAAGAGTACTATAAAATTTAAGGGAACAATCTCACAACCATCTCACGGTTTCATCCGTTAGCTTTATGCTACTGATCTATCTCCAATGATGGTGGAAGTTTTCTCATGGTGAAAAATCAGTAATTACCAGCAGAGGAGGTACTATACGGAAATTGGCTGTGGGAGACTCTGGTGGGTAAGTTACTTGGAAATGAGAAACAGAGCCAGCCTGTTGAAGCCGCATTGCCATGTGTCATCTGAATATTAAATCATGGCTATAAGAGGAGAACTCAATATTAAGATTGAAATAGAATTTGTGGCAGCAACAAAAGAATAAAAGAATAAATCAATATAGTTGATTCCTTCAACCATCAGATTTTTTTTTCTTCAGAATTGACCTTGTTTTGATCCTTTTGTTAAGCTTTAAAGGTTTAAGAGAAGAGGGCCCCTGCCCAAAATAAAATTACATATTTGCTCACATTTGGGGAATGAAAGGAAACAGTGCCTGGAACTTTCCTGTTATATTGATTAGAAAGTACAATTTTTTTTCTTTACAAATAAGTATTTCACTTTGCTTTTCCCAGAGAAGTTAGTGGAAAATATTAGACAGAGTGGCACATGTTTATAATTATATCACATGGGAGTCTGAGGCAGGAGTATTGAGAACATGAGGCCAGCCTGGTCTCTTTTGGAAGAAAAATATTGCAGGAAAAAAAATGAAGTCTGCTTAGTTGTCTGTGAGAACACAAGGAAAGACATAGTAAAGCTGGAAAACTTCATTATTCTTTCTTTACTTATTCTTTTCTGCCAGTTCTGTGGCTTGAACTCAGGCTCTGGGCACTGTCTCTGAACTTCTTTGACTCAAGGCTAGTGTTCTACCACTTGAGCTACAACTCTACTTTCAGCTCTTTTGGTGTTTAATTGAAGAGTCTCATGGAGTTTCCTTCCTGGCCTGGCTTAAAATCATGCTCCTCAGGTCTCAGCCTCCTAAATAGCTAGGATTGCAGGCATGAGCCACCTGCGGCTGGCTCTTTATTCTTTGAGTCAAATCTTGGAACAGACATATGGAAGGTATAGTTAGGAGCATGGGTTATTTCCAAAACCAATAGACAAAGGAAAACTCTAAAGTATAACCATGACATTGTAAAGATGCATGCTTCATTGCACTACTGCTCCTCTTTAATTAAGGAGTTATAAGTTAGGAGTGATGCCAAGTTCAAAGGCCTGGGGGCCATTAATGGGGTGAACTACTAGGTTTGACAAAGGGATTTGTAGGTGGTGGTTTTGGGTGCACTTAACTGTATAATGCCTAGAAAAGCTTTTAGATTATTTCATTAGTTGATTTCTCTATTTTTCCTTTTTCTTTTTTCCTTTCCTTTTCAATTCCCCACCGCCCCCCCCTTTTTTTTTCTTTTGAGATTAAGCAATGCCATGTAGTCCAGGGTGGTTCTGAACTCGTGATCTTGCAGGTTGGTCTTGAACTGCCTCAACCTCCCAAATGCTAAGATTACATGTATGTAACTTCACACTGTTTGACATGGAAGAAAAAAAATCAGCCAGTCACCTTTGATTAAGCAGAAAATACTGCTATTTTTCATGCCATGTGTTGTAAAATGTAAATTACTTTAACATAAAAATAGCATACAGATTTTAGAACTGTAAGTCTGGGTTACTGGAAACTAAAAAAAAAAAGGTACAAAACCAAAAGGACTAGTATAAATACAGGTTTTTAGTTAGAACTGTGAGCCATGTTATAGCCATGATGTAAATTATATAGTGCAATAAAACATATCAGTGTACGTATGTAAACATGGAGTGTATTGCCAAACTTCAACAATTTCTTGCTGAGATATTCTTAAAATCATTATAATATTTTACAAGTTTGAGTTTGTGTTTTTTAAAATGTTAAGTAGTTGTACAAAGAGGTTTCAATTCAACACGTCAGATTCTGAGTATCTTAAGTACTTTATATGTTCAAAAGTAAATATATGCCTGCCCTCCACCAACTGCTCCTTTTTCAGAAATTTTATGTTTCTTAGTTGCTTCAAAATGCTTTCTGGTTGTTTTTGTCCTGGAGAAAAATTCCATTTGAGAGGGATCAATTTTGTGAAATGTAATGCTATAGAAATTACTTTTAAGTAGATATATGTGTATGTGTGTGTATACACATATATATTAATATGTGCAGGACCAGGCTTGCAATCGGATTTTGTCCTTTTGGCTTTTTCAATCAAGCCACAACTCCACTTTCAGATTTTGCTGGTTAATTGGAGAAAAGAGTCTCATGGGCTTTTCTGCCAGGACTGGCTTTGAACTGCAACTTTCAGATCTCATCCTCATGAGTACCTTATGGCTGCCGGTATAAGCCACCAGGACTCTGCTTAATTTTTTAATTTTTTTAGTACCTTAACAGAGAATGCATAGGCTTTTGCTAATTCTTCAATATCAGAACATTTAGTTTCCTTTCTCAGAAAGATGTGGATTTAATTTCATGGTATTTTAACAGTACATAAACACTTCAAAGTAGGGTCTGGAGAGTTAAAGTCTAATATAGAAAGGCAATATTTTCCTTTAGCTCCAAGTTTCTCATCCACTTGTATCCATAAGACAAAGAGACATGAGATTTCCTTTTATGGATGCCAATCAGAAATAAAAATTCATATCTTTACAAGATGAGTAAACCAAATTGTGATGGCCTGATTGTTGCTTTTGGCATCTGGTCTGTGACTAATTGATTCTCTGGCAGCTTCCATCAGATGTTAGATGGTTGAAATGGTCCATGGGTGTCATACTTCATGTTTCAGGTGGTAAGGTTCTAGGAACATCCCAATTCTAAGTACAATTAAGCTACCATTGGATTCCAGTACAGAATTGAACAGTCTGGTACATCCCAAATTAATTTCTCCTGAAGTGCTCTTCTGTTCATTTGCTTTTGTCATTTGCCAAAGTTACATGGTATATAGTAAGGAGATGTGTTACTTTGGTGTTTTAAATGTATATGTTTAACTGTGAACAATCTAAAGTCATGCGTCTTGGTATTGAAAGAATCATTCTAATAAAATACATGCATTAAGCACTTTTTAAAATCTATCCCTGTTTTTTTGATATCCAGGCTATCCAACATGTACGTATGTATGTATGTATGCATGTATG